AGAAATGAAAATATAAAACTCTTTCAATTTCAAAAAATAAAATCACACAAACCAAGAAAGATTAAGCATAAAGAAGGCAACTAAAGGAAAATCCAAATTTATGAAAACATCATAAAGAATTGAGCATAAAGCAACTAAATATCAAAAATAATAAAATAAAGTGTTGCTCGCTTACTAATGGTTTTGGCAATGATGGCATCACGAGAATCAATTGTTTAGATTTTTTCAAGTTCTTCAAACCTCTTAAGTTCCAACAGTTAACTACCCAAATTAAATAGTGAATAAACATAAGAACTTTCTATGTTATCCCCAAAGAAATGGAGAATTGAACCTACCTAAGGAGTAATCCCACTTAACCATTATCATAGGTGTTGCAGATTAGCAGGATATATCTAACCTTCACTGTTGAAAGAACAAGCTTCGCATGCTTTTCTTGCCTTTCATTGAGATCCTGACGGTTGAAACCATAGCACCATCAGACATCTCTGAGTCGTCTACAGATAAAAATTACTGATCCAAATAAGTTCTTGCAGCAAAGGGTGAAATGAACATAAAGAAAATAAAAGCATAAAGAGGAAAAGACGGAATGGCAAAAAGTTGCCAACATCTTCCAAAGTAATATTAAATTCTGCCATGGAGTTTTCTTTCCTTTCTCTTAATTGTTAAAACTCCAACAACGAAACAGTAAACGGAAGCAAAAGCAAACACGAATATTTTTGCCATAGAAATATAAAAGAGTAGGAAAGAAAAGACACCATATCAAGATCACCGATCAATCACCTTAAACATTTTTCTCCTTCGTGAGATCCAAAAAATAGAGAGGTAGATAAAAGTTGACCAAGAAAAAAGTGTAAGAAAAAGCATAAATGAACAACTTCTATTATGATTTCATAATCCATGTGAAACGAATCCAGAAAAGCATCATGCATCTTTCTAAAGTACAAATACACATAATCACCACAGACAATTAGGAAATATAAATAATGTCCAGCTTGAATTCTTTAAACATTGAATCTATTAAATTCATATAGGCA